AGACGAGTTGACTCCTACCCTGGACGTCTACGGGCAGGCTCTTCTGGTTGGTCGTTCGTCTTCGACCCAGCAGGAAGACTGTGCTACTATTGGTCGATGATCGTGTCCCTGGCCTGCTTGTATAATCTCTGGGTCATCATTTACCGGTTTGCCTTTCGGGAAATTGACGGTAAGTAAACCTGCAGGTTTTTGCAAACAGCAACAACTGAATTAAACGAGCGCCCAGCTGCCGTTCAATTGCCTAACAGCATTTCACTCTCCCCCCGGGTTGTACTGAGAGTTATTTCTGGATACTTAATAGATATGGAAGGAGCGAAGAGGCGCTGCGGGTTTCCGAGGGGGGCGATTATTTTCTATTTTGTCGTGTTTGGGTATAATGTCAAGGGCCATCTGAGGGCGTTTTGGGGCTTCAAATGTGGTAAAACCGGGGAATTCGGTCCGCACTTTTGCAACAGACTGACAAAGTCAGGCTTTTCCAAGATGCAGCTCAAAGTGTAGGTAAATGCCCAAAATGATCCTTGTTTGCTTGTTTCAGCGAGTACGATACTAGTGTGGTTCTGCCTGGACTATTTCGCGGACTTTTTGTATTTAATGGACATTCTAGTGCATTTTCGTACCGGGTACTTGGAGGACGGAGTTCTGCAAACGGACGCGGTCAAATTGCGCCAACACTACATGAACTCCACCACGTTCTACATCGACTGCCTGTGCCTGTTACCGCTCGATTTTTTATACTTGTCCATAGGGTTCAACTCGATTTTAAGGCTCTCTAGACTGGTAAGGTTTTACCGCCTGCATTTCCGTCTGCCTGCCTAACTTTTGGCTCATTTGGCAGATTAAAATGTACAGATTCTGGGCCTTCATGGACCGAACGGAACGGCACACCAACTATCCGAACTTCGTTAGATCCTCCTATCTAATTCACACTCTTCTGGTGGTGTTTCACTGGAACGGGTGTGTGTTTCACTTAGTGTTAAAAAATGATGGTTTCGGGAGCAAAAATTGGGTCTACAGCGAGTCGCAATCGAATGAGGGTAAGCTTCAACAGCGGGTTGCTTAAGAGTCCATAAGAGTCAATCCGGTTCCTCTCAGGTCCAGATCACGTAAAAGCCTACCTCCAGAGCTACTATTGGTGCACGCTTGCTCTTACCACCATTGGGGATCTGCCACGTCCGAGGAGCAAACCCGAGTACCTCTTTGTGATATTTCAGGTAAAACATTCACTCATCAGGCGATCKCCTAAAAAGTTGGTATAAACAGAAAAAGTTCCTTTTCAGCTTCTTTTTGGTCTYTTGCTCTTCGCCAGTGTGTTGGGCCACGTGGCCAACATTGTCACCTCAGTGTCAGCTGCTAGGAAGGAGTTTCAAGGTAAGACTAAATCAACAAAACTTAGCATCTAACCATGACACACACTTTGTTTGTGGACGGAAATTTTGCCTTTGTCTGCTGAGGGTTTGGTGCTAAAAACTCCACTAAAAACTTAGTTGCAAAAAACACATCAATCCTCAATTGCATTCAAACCTAAGAGCGCTAAATATTTGAAATAAACTATTGGCTTGYAATCAGCTGCTCTCGTAATGCATGTACAAGATTATCGCTATTGAAGTTTTCCAATGTTCGGAACTGAATAATCAATGAAAAATGCTCTTTAAGTTCAAACGTTTGAATAAGTCATTTGTGCAAATTTTAACTAATTGAACGCAAAYCAAATTTACAAACAAAAATGCTCTTTCGAGCTTCACCTGATTAATTTGGGTTAGTCCATGCCATTGACTCGCAGATTTGATACCAAAAATGCATACTGGAAATCGCAGCAGCATGCAGATCGCASATAAGCAAGAGAAAGAGTGGTTTGGTTGTTCATCTTTTTATCATCTTGAGCAGATGCAGCTTTATATTTTTATTTTCTGCTCGATTTTCGGTTGCTGTAAATCGGGGCTGATTGACGAGTGCGGACAGGCGCGCTATCATCCTTATAAGGATAAAACGAACTGTTTGAGGTGCTACTTTGAGCAGAAGTCAATGTAGATTTCCACCGTTGATGCAAGATATAAATTTTTATTTCCGATAGCGTTAAATTGTTTATGTGAGCGGTTGAGAATAGTTTCGAGCCCTGAACTTCTACCTACCGCTAAACAGACATGAACATGTGGCAGGCATTGTTTGGCAAAGTATCCAGCTGAAGTGCTTTCAACATTTCAGCGGTGTACAACTTTGGGTTTAAACAGCAGAACTTTTCGACTGAAAACCCGAACTTTCGATGTAAATTTTTGTCATCGCCAACCTTGCCGTTAATTTCGCGGCAGCGGTGACGACAATAGATTATTACACAGGAACTTTAACGCTGGGAAACTCAGCGAATTTTTAGGAGTTGGCGCAGTGGTGCGCCAACCGCTTTAATAAATGGCACAACTCATTAACTCACAGAGCGGCTACAACTCAAAAGCGCAACGCAACTCAGTGTTACCCAGAGGCCTACTGGGTGGTTACCAGCGGATTTATAGCCGGTCTAAAATCTCGATATCTTGCCACGTCCCGGGGATTAATCGGGAATGCTTCGCTTCGCTTTTATCCTCTTTCCTCAAAAACACTTCTCAAGTCGAAAGTGGCCTTTATGGCTTTTTCTTGCCTTCATCTGTATGATTTCAAAGCGACAAAACTATCCTGAATGCACGGAAACTAAGGCAAATTATAACTTTCTGATCTGAGAGAATGTGAACCCTTAAGGGCTGGGAAGCACATTTTTTTTAATTGCCAAGAAACGCCGTAGCAAAAGCAGCGGTTCTATAATGAAAATTTTGTCTTCTGGGAAATATGTTCTGGTAAAGTTTTTAAGTTGGTCCCGACAGAAATTTGCCTCTTGTCGAGTGTGTAAATAATAATTCTACATATTTGCGAAATTTCGCGTTCTTAAGACGTTGAGCGAACATTTAGGTAGCAAAACTACGATTTTCTGAGGTCCTAAAAACCCATATCGCGGAGAGTTTTACCGGCGTTTTCATTAACAATTCATTCAATTTAGTCCGCATAGTGAAGCGTTTTTAAACCCATGTTTGGTTTCAGTAAAAAATAGCTTTTCTGTTGAAAAATTTGCATGAAAAATCGCATAAACAACCAACATGTTCATTCAGTAGATATTTTGCTTGGTTTGGCCGCATTGTCTATTTATCTGGCTTTTATAAGCCATTAACTTTTACAGTTGGCTGAGAATTTTAAACGGCAAAATCTCATATTAGCTTTGCGTGTAGATGTGTGCAGTTGCGCCGCAATTTATCTAAATAAGGCCCTTATGGTTTCGAGCTGAAACAATCTATCTTGGAGGTTGTTTTGCGTGAAATTCTAAAAACGATCCTTCCGGCTAAACAGGCCGCTTTGAGGCGTTGGCTCCAAATTATTCATTGACAATTTTGGGCATTTGCAAAAAAGGCTTTAAAAATTGAAGGTTTTTGCGTCACTGCGGACAATCAGAGCCGCATTAGATAAGAAGGATTTTTGGGGCTCGCATTTTCGGAATTTATGTGGTTGCAACGTGGAAAAATATAGACAGTTTTTGGACTTGCGGAGCGCAATCAGTTTATCAAAAACCACATAAACCAACCAGCATGCATTCGGCTGAAAATAAACGTTTCGCATCCTTATCTGGCTTTTGTGAATCATTTGCTTTCACGTGGGACAGAATATTTGAAACAGGACAGTGTGTATCAAAGTGCACGTCCAGATAGTTGCTTGGTGGAAGAGTCGCGATTTGCTCATGTAGAGCCCAAAAAGCTGAGCAATTATTTATTAAATTAGGTTTACTTAGGCTAAATTCTCTGGGCAACTTTCCTTTCGTCCATTGGCTAATAGTCGATAGAGAAAATTAAGGTCCCTGCTTGATTGGCTGGAACTTGTTTAGGTTTCCACTGTAAATGTTTCAGCATGAAATTTTCTGAATTATACGTAAAAGATTATGTATTAACACCCGAAAATTTTAAATTATTAATCGAAAAACCTTGATCATTGCGCGAAAAATGTTCGGCTTGCACAACGTCGAAACTTTCCCGCTGCTTCGAGCCTTAATTATTTAGGGCTAATCTGCGGCTGTTTCCAGCGCTGCTTTCTGTCGATTTACTTAGAGTTTTGTCTATCGCGTTTTGGGTCATTTCATGCGAAATCGGATACGAACAGAACAGACAGCCGACAACAAAAATTCGAAGCATAAATGAAACCTGACTCTGGCCTAATTAATATAAATTTCCCACTTCGTAACGCTGCCGGTGGTCTTTTGTTACTTTTATAAAGCAATTAGAAAGAATAATGGTTTTCTTTATTCTTGGACCGTCTTTTCTGGCCTTATTTAGGACCGAAATGTCGTCTTTTAATTAATGACCCACCTTTTTCTGGTCAGATGTTTGCCTAGGTAAATTTGGCGGCGAGACTTATCAGGATGAAAAGTATGCGGCAATGAAGCTTTAAAATAACAACTTATAATCCGGACTAAAAAAGTGTCTCGACTTGGCCTGAGTGCGTTTTGTTGTTCATTGGAAAATATTTGTTTGGCAGAATTGTTTTTCAATTTGCTGCCGTTTATATGTGGGGATTAGTTTACATTAAGACGTTTTAAAAAGTTAACTTTCACTAGGGCACAACTTAAATTTAACGTTTGTTGAAAGTGGGGTTTCATTTCAATTCCCCACGAATCCAATGAGGCAAATTTATATCCGCTCGAAATATCGCTGCACATAATCCGAAATTTGCTCCTTCCATTACAGCCTAATTAAACTAGTTAGGCGTTAATCAACTATTCGCCTCTCTCCAAATTAGGCAAATTGGAAGGCAACTCCGACAACTGTCGGCGTTGAAGGTAAATAATTTAAGCTGCACGACTTTCATATTTAGTCGGCGTGGAGTTGAAGTCTCTCTTTGACCACCTAATAGGATGCTGATGAAAATACACCCGTCTTGGATCTCCCGGCCAAGTGTTAGGTGAACTTGCAGTGTTTTGAATACGAAAAAAATCATTTCTTCCACACTAAAGCAGGCAGAAACCTGAGATATTCGCAAAAACGAGTAAATATATGTGGTCGCAAATGAGGCAAGTTTCGCGTTTTTTTGAGCAAAATAGGGGGCTGCATAAATTTTCAATCTCCAGCAAGAATGTGGCCTCCTAAGGTAGCCCTACACTGTTCTCAAAAAAAAAATTCACACCCTACATACTGAAGAAGGTGGAAACCTGAAAGATTAACAGAGAAGAGTAAATATGAGTGGCCCAAAATGAGGATAGTTCGACCACATTCGGTTCACGAAAAAAGTTTTCGCAAATTTTAAAAATTAAAGTAGTAAACCTCAAATATTTACCCGAGGAAGTAGACATTAATGGCCGCAATTTGCAAAAGTTTTAGTGGATTCGGATGAAGAAGAGAGTTTTAGCAATTTTTTGAAATTTGAAGCATACATTTCCTAATGGAACTGGACACCGCTTGAAGAAAATTGATACCTTGATACATTAGTGCAGAAAATATCGACATAAAAGAGTAAATTTACGTGGTGGCAAATGAGGAACATTGGTGGACAGACAAAAAAGAGTCTTTGTAAATTTTCAAGTTTCAAGCAGCAGAACACTGTTGCAAGGCAAAAAAATACATTTTCCATGGGAAGAAAGGAATAAACTTAAAATGTTAACATACAAAAGCATCGATATTTGGCCGGAAATGCGCCTCCGAGTTTCACTTTATTCGGGCGAAGAAAAGAATTTCCCCAAATTTTCAAAGTTGAAACATAAACTTCACAACTTAGCACTGCGCCGCTCCTTATGAAAATTGCATTTTGCATATTAATTAAAAGAGTTACGCAAGAATTTCTCCAAAAACAGTAAATATAGTTGGTCGCAAACGAAGAAAGCTTCCCTTTACTCGAACTCAAAAAAGGGTTTCCACAAATTTTCAACTTTGAACATGAATTTTCTATTGCACCCCTAGACCGCTCTCTAAAAAATCACATCTCTCATTCTGATGCAGGAAGAAACCGGAAAGTTTCATGTGAAATCGCAAATATATCTGGTCGCAAATACAGAAAGTTTCACTTTATTCGGAGGACGAAAAAGCTTTCCACGCATTCCAACAACAAGAGGACTTTGCTTTGAAGCCTCTCAATAGCTGGAAGCGCTTTTCTAACGAATTTATTAGTTATGATGATTATTTTCCGGGTAACTAAGAAGCTGCTTTGAAGGCTAATATATTCAGACTGAAATATACATCAAAGCAAAAGCCTGCCGGCCTTGTTCATAAATCGAAAGCAAAATTTGATAGGAATTGAGCAAAAAATTAACGCAAATCGACAGAGATGTTCAAAATACTGAAAACTGCCCTGAACGACTTTTCAGTCCGTGT